AGACCCACACTCGGAGCACCGTGCACAGTTCCGGTCTCCGTATCCCTCAGTTAGACCCACACTCGGAGCACCGTGCACAGTTCCAGTCTCCGTATCCCTCAGTTAGACCCACACTCGGAGCACTGTGCATATTCCTGTCTCCATATCCCTCAGTTAGATCCACACTCGGAGCACTGTGCATATTCCTGTCTCCGTATCCCTCAGTCAGACCTTAGAACTAGAGAGGTTATAACCATCAAAAGACTGAACAGACTGAAGCGATTTTCAATTGAAAAGATGAGGCTGAGGGGACACCTGACCAAGGGGTTTATCATTATGAAAGGGGTTGCGATTGGGGAGACATAGAGAAGACGTTTCCCCTTGTGTCGGGATAGGGGGAGACCAGAACGAGGCGCCATCGATAGAAGAAATTCCACATAAATCCAACAGGGAATTCAGGAGGAATATCTTCCTCCAGACAGTGGTAGGGAATGTGGGACTCACTCCCACAGGATGTGGAGGGGAGGAATCGTATTGATCCACTGAAGATGGTCGGAGCTGTGTAAAATGCAATGGAGAAAGGCAGAGAAGGACATCATGGCAGTGGGCGTTGAAAAGGATGTGACAAGTGGGCTAGCATGCAACAGAGGGTCAGAATGTGAAAGGCAGTTACAACAACATCAGCAAAACGTTTACCACATCGTCAAAACTAACTGGACAGGTTACAAACCTCTGTTTCAGATGTGCCAAGAGATTTTAAGATTTGGAAGAGTGTGAACGGTGACAGTGGGAGATATCTAAATGCTGTGAACGAGGGGGATACTGTGAATATTAGCTGTACCAGCCAGAACAGTGACCCTGCAGTCTCAGGCTACAGCTGGTACAGCTCCACTCAGAACAAGCGAGTCGACGGCCAGATCCTGCTGTTTGAAAGCATCAGCAAGCTACAGAGTGGAGATTATCTGTGTGAGGCAAGAAACAACATTGGGACAGGGAGATCAGAGACCATTACCATCAGGGTCCAGTGTGAGTATCCCCAGGAAACGAGCTCCTGGATCCTTCACCTGATATTTCCAAATCTACTCAAACACTGTCTGTACATTAACCATTCAATGGCCAGTACAGAATGAGGGCCGCGCTGTCGGAGGGTCAGTGCTGAGGGAGCGGGCACTGTCGGAGGGTCAGTGCTGAGGGAGTGCCGCACTGTCGGAGGGTCATGGCTGAGGGAGCGGGCACTGTCGGAGGGTCAGTGCTGAGGGAGCGCCGCACTGTCGGAGGGTCAGTGCTGAGGGAGTGGTCACTGTCGGAGGGTCAGAGCTGAGGGAGTGGGCACTGTCGGAGGGTCAGTGCTGAGGGAGCGCCGCACTGTCGGAGGGTCAGTGCTGAGGGAGCGCCGCACTGTCGGAGGGTCAGTGCTGAGGGAGCGCCGCACTGTCGGATGGTCAGTACTGAGGGAGTGCCGCACTGTCGGAGGGTCAGTGCTGAGGGAGCGCCGCACTGTCGGAGGGTCAGTGCTGAGGGTGCGCCGCACTGTCGGAGGGTCAGCGCTGAGGGAGCGCCGCACTGTCGGAGGGTCAGTGCTGAGGGAGTGGGCACTGTCGGAGGGTCAGCGCTGATGGTGTTGGATGTTTAATTCCAGATGCCCCGACCAGTGTCCGAATCACATACCCAAAGACAGTTCGTGCTACAGAAAGGGTGACCCTCACCTGTGAATCTGATGGCCATCCAGTTGTATATTTCTATCGCTGGAAGATGTTATGTCCATTCCACTCGTGGTCTCCCTGCACCAGTCGCCCTCAATGTTCGTTCTACACTTCAGTGCAAGATGCTCCCTGTGACTACATCTGTACAGCGAGGAACTCCGTGGGGGAAAAGGACTCCGATCCCGTACGACTGGATATCCAGTGTTAGTGTCATCAGCGTGAGACCCCTACACACTCTAATATTGTACAGACCTAACCCTTCATATCCCACCCTATCTCTGTAACCTCCTCCAGCCCCAACACCCCTCCCTATTTCTGTAACCTCCTCCAGCCCCAACACCGCTCCCTATCTCTGTAACCTCCTCCAGCCCCAACACCGCTCCCTATCTCTGTAACCTCCTCCAGCACCTGCACCCCTCCCTATCTCTGTAACCTCCTCCAGCCCCAACACCGCTCCCTATCTCTGTAACCTCCTCCAGCACCTGCACCCCTCCCTATTTCTGTAACCTCCTCCAGCCCCAACACCGCTCCCTGTCTCTGTAACCTCCTCCAACCCCTGCACCCCTCCCTATCTCTGTAACCTCCTCCAGCACATACATCCAGTCCCTATCTCTGTAACCTCCTCCAACACCTGCACCCCTCCCTATCTCTGTAACCTCCTCCTTTCATGGCCTCTTTACCATCCTCCAATTGAAATCGCTCTGCCAGCGTGGGCCATGCCTTTAGGTGTTTGGGGCCCTGAGCTCCGGAATTCCCTTCTTGCACGTCCCCATCACTCTCTCTCACTCTGTCCCTCTGTCTCACTCTCTCTGTCTATATCTCTCTCTCTCCTGCTCTAAGACGTTCCTTGAAAACCGCCCTCTTCTCCTGACATATTGATCACTTGTTCCCCCTGCTCCTGGTTGAGGCAAGTTGGAGTCGGATTGCTGTATCACCCTTTGCAGTGTGTCCCGTGGTTAAGCAGGCGCTACACAAATGTACATTGTGTGTTGTTGCCATTTTTTTGGTCACATCCTATTTTCACTTCTGATCAGCAATCATTCTGATGTTGCCCCCTCCCCACCCGAACGAGACCCCCTGTCTCCTGCGGACCCGGATATGTGAGGGACTCCGAAAAATTGAAATCACATCTCTCTGTCTCCACAGACGGCCCGAGAAACGTGGAGATTATTTCAGTGGATACAGTGAAGGAGGGGACGGAGATCACACTAACATGTCGCGGTGAAGCCAACCCCCCGGTTAATAGGTACAGCTGGTCGAAAATGTGCAACGGACAGCAGAGAGCTCTGCGAGGAAATACCGCTTCAGTTAGGATTCAAACGACCAGGGAGGATGCATCTTGTAGCTACGTCTGTACAGCACAGAATTTTGTCGGCTCCCTGGATTCTAAATCCAAACGCATTAATGTACAGTGTAAGTAAAGAGGGTGTGTGATCTGCAGAAAATACCACCTCAGCACCACACTCAGAGCACCGTGCACAGTTCCAGTCTCTGTATCCCTCAGTTAGACCCGCACTCGGAGCGCCGTGCGCAGTTCCCGTGTCCGTATCCCTCAGTTAGACCCGCACTCGGAGTGCCGTGCGCAGTTCCGGTCTCCGTATCCCTCAGTTAGACCCGCACTCGGAGCGCCGTGCGCAGTTCC